ACCAGGCGCTTGACGCGTTCAGCCGTGTGGCTGCGCATTTAACGTGGTTGCCTTTGGCGCGCCTTTTGTGTGATGGCCGAGCCGAAGCGTGAGAACAGTGCTTTGTATGAGATCGGGTCGAATTCTCATGAGGCAAAGTCCATTTTGGGAGTTGGGGTCCAAGATGAAGAGTGAAACTAAGGGGACCGGCTGATGGGACGGGTGTGGTGTTGATGTTTTCTTGGAGGCCACCTTTGCTTCTCCTCATCGCGTCGTGCTCTCGACATCGCGACACGTGGTCTCCGATGCCGGAGTTGATGATGGCAACGGATTTTCCTGGGGACCTGTGGACATGGGATGTGGCTGGGTGATGAGTCAATGAAGGGTCAAAAGCGCGTCAAATTCATTCAAGTTCAGGGTTTTGCCCAGTGGGAATATTTAGGGGCAAACTTTTATTTGGCTATTTGGCTGAATGTTTTTTGTTTTCAAAAGTCACAGGGCACTTGTTCACAGATTGAATAGATTGAGCCGTATTGGCTCGCAACCAAACCAAGGTCCCCTAGATTTTCCCATGAAACTAGGTCAACATAGAAGGCATCCATCCGCACATCTATGATCATCAATGACATGACACAAACTTGCTAGAACCCGAGACTGAGGTTTCTTTGGGGATTTTCCCACCCCAAAAGAGACAGACCCACAAACGGCGGGAACCAAGTGTCCTCCAATCATGGTTGGTTGACATGCCTGTTCCAATTTTCGATTTTGGGTTCAAGCTAGGATTGTTTGTGTCCGACGATCACCATCTTGAGGCAATTGAGAGGTCTACTATGGTTTACTCATCCACATCCGACTCGTCAATCGAGGTTCTTTGGACGACTTGGATGAAGATCAGGACGTTTTCGCCGGCTGGCCCGAGGATTTACTGGAGGATGAATTCGACTGAGCTGCAGCGATCGAAAGATGGGCGCATCCGGAACAAGCCCGGCTTCACCTCTTCCTCCGTCCGGAACACGTCATGGGCAATCAATCCCTACAGAGTTTCTGAGGGAGCAGCCGAGGCAGAATTCACTCTGCCTTCGAAGTAGGTATATAATATACATATATATATATAGTCAGTTATATAAACATAGTATATAGTTATTGGACTGAAGACGAGGCCTGGTAGGTGTGGCTCAAAGAAGCGACCCAAGAAGAGATCCAAAAGAGACACTTTGCAGCGGCAGATGGATTGAGTGAAGGTCTATCAAAGTACGATGAAGGTTCGGTTTCTGGTGTCTTTCTTTTTCTTTTTTCTCTGGAAGGTGAACACACCGTGGTTTGGGTGATTCGTAAAATCTCAGTGTCAGTGACCATGGACAAAAAATAAAGTGAATCAACTTTGAACTGAATTGACATGAGACCAACTGAGATGGTCACGTCACGTCTCCAAGTTGTTGGTCACTCCAACAAAGCCACGGCAGCCATGGGAGGTTTTGTAGCCCGCGAGGCCACCGTGATGGCACGCCTCCCTCTCTGCCATCCAAGGCAATGAACCTCTCTTTGAAGCTCTGGGAGGAAGGCTTCTGGCTCGCGACGAAGGCTTCGGTGCCGGCGACGACCGCAAGGCAGGCAACCGTGGTGCCGGTCTCTGCCACCAGTGATTCGATGGTGGCTTTCCAAAGAACATGTGTTAGCAGTGTTAACAGTCGATCAGGCTTTACTTTCAACAGTTGCTGGTGGGGGTACTGAAAAATCAAGCAGACCATTGTAGCAAAGGCATCCTGGTTGAAGTAAGCTTGTGTCAGCCGACACCCTTTAGTTTCAATCTGTGCTTTGCAACTGTCCTTAAACTTTCTATTTGCTACGTGAGGCCTTGTTCCCGAAAGCATTGCGAAGGGTTCTTCCGGAAAATCCTTTGAACACTGACACTTCGACACTTACACTTACACACTGACACTTTCACCACACTTGCACGACAACATGAACGCTATACGTACCCCAGTGTAAGTGGAAGAGCGAAAGCAGCCAAGTGCAAGTGGCAAAGTATGCAAGTGGAAGTATGCAAGTGTAAGTATGCAAGTGATGAGTATGCAAGCATGCAACAAGCATGCAAAGAGTAGGCAAGTGTGAGTATGGAAAACTACCACGGGAGATGTCCTAATGAAAAAACATTTCCCCACTTTATAAATTCTCTCTTTAAGGCGGAGGGTGGGACGAACAGCGTCAACCGAAAGTGCAACCCTCTGCGGAGATCGTGCGTGTCAAGTGCACGAAATGCAGGCGAGAGTGCGATTGGCGCGGTGCGCGCGCAACCCTCTGCGGAGATCGTGCGTGTCGAGTGCGCGAAATGCAGGCGAGAGTGCGATTCGCCGGCTGCGCGCGCAACCCTCTGCGGAGACCGTGCGTGTCGAGTGCGCGAAATGCAGGCGAGAGTGCGACTTGCCGGCTGCGCGCGCAACCCTCTGCGGAGATCGTGCGTGTCGAGTGCGCGAAGTGCTGGCGAGAGTGCGATTGAGTCTGTGCGCGCGCAAACCCTCTGCGGAGATCATGCGTGTCGAGTACGCGAAACGCAGGCGAGAGCGCGGTGGGGTGTGTGCGCGCGCAACCCTCTGCGGAGATCGGGCGTGTCGAGCGCGCGAAAGGCAGGCGAGAGGTGTACTTTGTAGTATAACTTTAGTACGCGGAGTAGCCGGGGAGCTGGAAGATGAGAACTGGCGACTGGGTAGTACAACGTTAGTACGCGGAGTAGCTGGGGAGTGGGAAGATTCCCTGCAGCTCGCTTTTTTCAGTGAGATTCCCTGCAGCCGTGCACGCTGCTTCTCCCCTTACCAGCAGCTCACATGCTCATGACGATGAGCTGGGCTGTCACCGCTTGGCCGCCGGTGGGGGGTTTGGGAGGCCGCATCACACACAGACACCCACGCACTGCCTCAACTTACACGAACACACACACATACGCAGACTCATATACACACGGACATAGACACACACACAGAAACCCACACACAACCTCAACTCACTCGACTTAACACTTCACACTGCACACTTAACAGATAACTCGCGCTCTGACTTCCTACGTGATGAAAAATGCTTTCGGGCCACTCGTTGTCTAGTTTTTTTGGACAGAACCACGCTGAATCTGCTTAAGGCCATGCCACAGGTGAAAGTGGAGCCAACTGTCATCAGCTACACCGCCACCATCAGCGCCTATGAGAAGGTTGGCGAATGGCAACAAGCATTGCAGCTGTTGGAGGCCATGCCACTGGCAAGAGTACAGCCAACCGTCGTCAGCTACACTGCGGTCATCAGCGCCTGTGAGAAGGTGGCACAATGGCAGCAAGCATTAACGTCCTTCAACGCCATGCCCAAGGCAACTGTGCAACCAACTGTCATCAGCTACACTGTGGTCATCAGTGCCTGTGACAAGGCGGGACAATGGCAGCAAGCATTAACGTTCTTCGAGGCCATGCCCAAGGCAACTGTGCAGCCAGATGCTATCAGCTACAAGGCGGCCATCAGCACCTGCGAGAAGGCAGGACAATGGCAACAGGCGTTGATGATCTTTGAGGCCATGCCTAAGGCAACTGTGCAGCCTACCGTCAACAGCTACACTGCGGTCATCAGCGCCTGTGAGAAGGCAGGACAATGGCAACAAGCATTGACCTTCTTGGATGCCATTTTCAAGGCACATGTGCAGCCGAAAGTCATCAGTTACAACGCAGCCATCAGTGCATGTAGGAAGAGCGAGGAATGGCAACAAGCCTTGAAGCTGTTTGAGGCCATGTCATGGGCAAAAGCGCAACCAGATGTAATCAGCTACAATTCAGCCATCAGTGCCTGTGAGAAGGGCAGCCAATGGCAACAAGCATTGAATCTTTTTGAGGCCATGCACACAAAGAAAGTCTTGCCAAACATAGTTACTTACAACGCCCTGTTTGACTGTGCCGCAGTTCATACAGGCCAGATTGGCAGTGATATGTTTCTGCAATGCAACTTGCCAGAAGTGTCCAATGTGCGAGAGTGCGGAATTTTCATTCTTGACCTCCACAATCTCTCAAAGGGAGCTGCTCATCTCGCTTTGCGTCATTGGCTCTCGACTGCAGTAGCTACCGAGCTCAAGCACAGCAAGGAATTGACCTGTACGATCGTCACAGGCTATGGAAAATCTCGGTTTGCGCAAAGTGCATCAGTCCTACGTCAGAGTGCTGTGCATTTGCTTCAAAGCCTAAGACTCAAGGTCTCGATTTCAACTGAGAACCCCGGTCGGCTTCAACTGGTCGTGATGAGGAGGGACCTGCCTGCTCTGCATGCACTGCGAGGTGCGTCACAGATGCAAAACAGGGGGATTTGCTGAACTGCCTAGCTTGTAACATTGTGATGCATTGTGCCAGTGGGAGCACAGATCCTAGCACCCAGAGAAAATGGGATCGGTTTGTTGGCCCATCATGATTCCTTTTTGATCCTTTTTGGTTCGGTGAATTCTTGTGGAGATCTTCACATACCTTCTCTCGGCTTTGTTTTCGTTCTGTGTTCGCGTGTCCATGGGATCTCATGAAACAACTCCAGGCTGAAATGGCCACAGGAATCGTCATCCAAGCTGATCTTTCAATGCCTATGAAAAGCCAGGCATTTGGTCGGATCCGAGTACTTTTCTGGAATGAAACGAGCCCCATGGAGGCCCAACAAAAATCTGCCCAAAACGGCAACAACGTGCCACGTCTCATCCGAGCACGCTGACCTCGTCGCACCGCACAACGAGTTACTCGGTTCGCCCTGTCTGCCTGAGACGGTAATCGGTATCGGTATGCGACCGACCACACCCAATTCCAAGTTGGAAGAAGCACCGAAAGTGCAACTGAAAGTGCAGAAAGTCCAGGTATCTGTGCTAGGCAGAAAGTGCAGAGGAGGAAACTCCCAGCAGGTTCTTCGACCGGTGTTTCTTCCAAACGGTCCGACTTGGTTCTGCCGAGCGGGTTCAGCACCGGGTTGAGCACTTGGTGTTGCTGGTCACGGGCGGCCACCGGCAGTGATTCTGCCAGGTGAATGGCTTTCAGAAGGGCTCTGTGAAGGTCCTACTATCGATTCTGGAGCGAAGTCCACTGAGGGTGTGTGGGGGGAGGAAGGAATTTCTTGACATGACAGGCTCCAATTGTCTCAACTCAACGATATTCAACGTTGGTTTGGCCAGTATATGTTGTAGTTTCTTTTCTTGTGCTGTGGTCAATGACTTTAACGGGGGAAAGCCGATAGCAGTCGTTGTTTGTTCCTGCATTGGGGACCAACTAACTACAGCAAGTTGTGCCTCAGTGTCAGATCTTTGCAAGGAAAGACACTTGTTGTTCCTTAACCGAGACAAGGAGAACATGGCAGGCCCCCTTGCTTTGAGTTGGCTTCGATTTCGGACTTGGCCACTTCGGCTTCTTCCGACGACCCATGACATCTCACCAACACCTGTGAGCTTCGGCATCGGATGGTTTTCAGTTCAATCGGTGTTTTGAAGGGCATCGGGAGCTGCCGCTTGCCACGTTGAGACTGAAGAGCCGCAATCCATGCATCTAGGAGCCCACGGGAGAGGATGATGAAGAATCAGGCGACCCGCGAGCGCTTGGGAAGCAGACCTTTTTGTGCAGGAGATCCCAAAGAGACCTTGATACGGGACTTCTCTGAAAAGGGGACAACCTTACAATAATTACAGAGATTAGTGAAATAGAATAGAATCAACACTTGAACTCACAAGGCTTGACGCCAAGGCTCATCTCGAAAAATTGTCGGATGGCTTGGGAGTTTGGGGGTCCACCGGCCCACCGACCTAGCGGCTAGCCACCAGTGCCATGAGCCCTCAGTGCCAAAACTCGTGGACTTTTTGGAGCAAGCGGCACCACGCCGGGCTTTTTGAGAGTTCTTCTCGAAACAATAGGGTGTGATGAGAGGGAAAGCGTTTCTCCAAAGCCCGTAGCGTCTGAAAACTTCTCGTAGCGTCGTAGAGTCAGAGTGACCCTCACCTCTGATGAGTGGGATCTTTCATCCTTCAGAGATGGAGGTTCCATTTTTGGCAGATGCTGGCAGGGCTTCCTCCCTGTTTGGTGCTGCAGTCTTCTTTTGAGGTCTGTAGTGACGCACATCGAAAGGCTCAGCAAGCGTCTGAAACTCCGCGACTGGTCTCGGGTCCTTTTCACCCAAGGGGAGCCTCGTTCTTTTTCGGCGAAGCGGCCTCCCAAGCGACCTGGAGGCGGCATCACAGCTGACATGGCTTTGGAAGAGCTCACCGAGCAGGCGCCAGCGCACACTCTTGGTAGGAGCAGAGATTCTTTTGAAGACCCCCATAATTGAGTTGATCTGGTCTGCACTCTGAACATCTCTGGACTTTTACATGTGCAATGCATCAGACCGTCCTGAGCATGCAGCAATGGGGAGAGTCCTGGTCTTTGGACGGACTGATAGATCCAGTTGAATCCATTTGAGTGTTTCTTGTTGGAACGAATGGCATGGACTCGATCAAAGGTGTTTCCCCCGTGCGGAAGAATGATGATGTCGGCTCATTTCAATTTGAATCATAAAAACTATCAAAAGTATTCAAAAGTAATCAAGGTCTCTTCCGGACCGCGCCGGACCTTCTAGCAAAAACTCATCGATCTTCCTTTCGTCGGCCGCAACGTTTCACTTTTTTCTCTCCATGTCTATCCCAAACAGGTCCTTCGAAGTTCTTCATTCATTTGTTACTTCAAAACTTCAAACAAACCTCACTGGTGGAACCACCGCGATCCACCACCCACCCAACCCCTGGTTGCCGCCAATCCAATGGGCGTTCCGTTTGGAGCGGAGCCGTGCGCGCGCTTCCTCGCGCGTCTCCAGGTGGAGGATCCCAATAGTCGGCTACGTCTGGGAGAGGCGCTGTGGAACATCGAGGGTGTGGACAATAGAGGGGATTGGTTGATGCCCGTGATTGAGAATAGTCGGATTGATGGCCAGTTGGTGGATGTTCTTTTGGTCAATACAGAGGATAATACGTGAACAGGCAATAGGTCAAGGGTCCACTGACCCCTTCTATTTATTCCCGAACTGGGCAGACATCGTGTGTGCTTTTTCCCGCGATAAGAGAGCGAGTGATCTTGACGTTCCCTTTGCGGTATTTGATCTCTGGATAGAACTTGCTTGGCTTAGCCCACGCAAGAATAGAATATCGCTTCCCCTATGACTTGAGACTCACTTATATATGTCTCTCTTTTTTGACGATTTGTATCACCCAGGAACATCCAAGATCCATCCCATGTTGGATTTTGGGAACGGCAGAAAGACCCTCCAAACCAAAGTGGAGGAAGATGCCAAACAATTAATCTGAACTCTTCACTGTGATCTCACTTCATGTCACGAAAGGTAGCCCTTTAGGAGATACCTTGAGTTTGACTTGCGAAGCAAGTGTCGGCGAGTCCGGGTCGAATAATTGATTGCTCAATTCAACCCCCCCCCTTGAAAAGTAGAGCCTACCTGTACAGGGTTCCACTCCAACAGCCGATATAGTGTGTCCATGCTTGACTGCTTCAAGGCTCAAAGAGCAAGAGGATAAGACTCTGCGCATAAAAGACACTAGCGGTCTGCACCTCTACCGTGTACGCCCTAGTCACTCTTTCAGTGGTAGCGGAGCAGTGATCCTGGAAGACCCAGGTGAGCTCCTTTCCTAGGCATAGAATTGCTTGTGGGCAAACGGCCATGGATTGGATTGACGACTGGGAAGAGCCTGATGCGGATGTGGCTTATGAGCCAGCAGCCTATGTGAATAGGCATGTGAGAAGAGAACCAGCAGCAATAGCAATGACAACACAGGTCACTACAAAGGTGCCCCCATCTTATGATGGAAAGACTTCATGGTTTTCCTATGAGGATGCCATAGACGATTGGTGTGATATCACCGAGCTGGAAGATGAGAAGAGAGGACCAGCATTGAGAAACAGATTAGAAGGAGAAGCAGCTGTATACAAGCGTGTTTTAGACAGAGATGCATTGAAGGCTAATGAGCCACCAGGAGCTGGAGTAGATTACTTCAAGAGAGTACTACGACCATATTTTGTGAAAGGGTCCACCAATGTATTCCTGTATAGGTTTATGCAATTCGTGCGCTTCAATCGAGGATCAGCTGACATGATGAAATGGATGACAAGATTCCAGATTTTACTCCAAAGGCTTATGAGCAGTTGGATGGACATGTTAGAGCCAGTCACACAAGCACATCCTCAGGTCCTAGCTCAGATGCAGGCTGATGCAGCGTTGACTGGAGTAGCACCAACGGCAGAAAGGATTCAGGAAATCATGCAGACCATCAATGGCAATATGAGGACTTTTCATCAGAACGAATTTCCTCTAGGAGAAAATCTCATTGCCTTACTCATGCTGTCACTTGCAGATTTGTCTCAGGACCAGCGAAACACTTTGACTTCCTTGATGACTCATCGTGGCAGGGTCTTGCAGCAATACACTACAACAGAGTTGAGGACAGTTTTCATTGAGATGTTCTGCACGACAAAGACTTCAGTAGACAATCCTTTGATGCAGCCGACAGGTGCTGGAGGTAGAAGATCATTCCTTGTACTTGAAGAAGGAGAACTCGATGGTACATTTGGCTATTGGGCCGAAGATGAAGAAGATGGAACAGAAGGATTTTTAGATGCCCTAGACGATGTCTTTTGGGTATATGATGATCAAAACTTCTCGTGGTTCCAAAGGAGATTCCAAGGAAGAAGAGCCAGAAAAGGCAAAGGAAAAGGTAGAAGAAAAGGAAAAGGCAAAGGAAGATCAGGCCGCAGATTCTTCAGACCTCGTGGAAAAGGAAAAGGAAAGAGACGAGGTAAAGGCCATTTTGCTGATGAGCAACAGACAACTTTTCCAGATGAATACTTTGAAGAGAATCCTTATGAGGACACTTGGGAGTCAAACCAAGTAGCATATGATGCCATTCTTGCCGAAGATATGAATGACTATCTTCAAGGAGAATATGATGATGCCAATGACTTTTGGCAACAGCTAGAAGAAGCATGGTTTTCCCACAAAGGAAAAGGAAAAGGCAAGAGAAAAGGCAAGAAAGGAAAAGGAAAAGATAAAGGAGATGGCAAACAAGATGCAAACTATGCAAATCAACAACAGCCACGTTCTTTGCCTGCACCTTCAAGATCTTCACAAGCATCAGGAGGTCAACAAGGTTTCTTTGCACATTGTGTGACAGCAGCAGCTGAAGTCCATGACAGTGAGGTGGACTTGCTGTCAGGCATGATGACCTCATGTCAAGATGAAGCTGACTGCGCGGTCAACAATGGTGAGACGATCTTCAATGGCATGAGTGCCCCTGTGAGGTACTCTTTGTCAAAGGAGATGCTCACAAAGGCTCCTGATGGCTTTGCGCTTATGAGCGCTGAGGAAGAAGTGAAGGAGATGCAGGCCATTTCATTTTTGACTGAGAATCGCTTCCCGCCGACGATTGCAATCCTGGACATTGGATGCACTAGAGCTATGGGATCAAGGCGAGCAGTCGACCATTTTTGCAACTATGTCGACAATCACCCAGATTGTGGATTATGGTACTCTTTTGAGGCTACCAAGAGCAAGTTTTACTTTGCCAATTCCCAGAAGGCTACTTGCTCTCAGAAACTGGTGATTTACATGTATGATCGTGCATGGACGATCCACCATACAGAGTTCGACATAGTGGAAGAAGGAGAAGTCCCTTTGCTTATGAGCTTGCCACAGATGAGGAACTTAGGCTTTGAACTCAGGCTGACACCTCAACATGCTTATCTGACATCGGTGCCTCTTGGTATCAAGTATTTGGAGTTGAAGGTTGCAGCCAGTACTCATCTTGTCTTGGACTTCCAAGATATTGCATGGTATCTGTCTGACGTGAATTTGCAGACTCGGCGCGAGAAGAGTTTTTACTCTCACTTCACTCACTATGAATATGGTCATATTTCTGTTGACCACAATAGTGATGAAGATGTAGCTGAACATGCATATCCTGTGGTTGACTACTGGGAAGTAGATGTTCACAAGAGAGAACTGATACGTCACCACAAGGATTATAGAAAGATTCTTTTTCCAGCAACTAAGTCCTGTCCTGTAGACACTGACTTACTGGAAGACTTGCGACTGACAATCATCAAGAAGAAGAAAGGAGGAGAAGAAATCAAGAAGCTAGATGATTGGCGCAAGGCAAAATGGAAGGACCTACAAATTGGCTATGAATGGCGTGGTAGAACAATTTTTAAGTTCAAACCAGATGCCAAAATTCCAGATCTAAAGATCAGGAAGGCTGGCATTGAGCACCGTGGCATTGGTGATCCCGATGCAGTGGTGCGCTCCTCCTCAGAGAAGGTTCCCATTGCAAAGGACAGGGAACCAGGCTTCTCTTCAGAGAAGGAAGGTGCACCATCCAGTGCCGCGGAAAAGCCCGTGCCGCCAAAGTTTCGGTATACTTCCAAGGGTTTTGATCCATTTTGGAAAGGACACAAGTCAAAACCATCTGAGCCTCAGAATGATTTAAAGGGTGATGATCTTGAGGAATATGCTCCCTCAGAACCACCTGAGAGGCCAGAAGGTGAACTTGTAGAAATTCCTAAAGCATCAAAAGGACCATCAAGTGATAAACATGAACCCCTTGAACCAGGTGATGGCGCTCTTGAGCCTAGGCGGATTTCAATCCCATTACCTGGTAGTGAAGTTGTTGCAATGACACCGGCATATAGGAAGATGTTACAGAGACTGGAGGACAAGGTAGAGCTTTATAAGCTTCATGTGAAGCACTACCATATGAGTCCTACTCAGTTTCGTAGACGTGTTTCTATGTTGAAGCTTCCTGACTCTGTTTTAGAGAAGTATGAATCAGTTGTCAGGAACTGCCGTGTTTGTAACACTTCAGTGGCACCTCCGCCACGAGCCAGAGTCTCCGGTATTAGAGCTTCATGTTTTGGTGATGTTGTTTTTGCTGATCATTGTGAGGTTGAACTTCACAAGAACAAGTATATCATTTTACTTGTTCTTGATGGTGCCACAAATCTTCTCTGGGCTACGGCACAGAAAGACCTCATAGATCAAACCACCATCCAAGCATTGAGGCAGTGGTCTGATGAGAACAACTGTGTTCCGAAGGCCATCGTAGGAGACGAAGCTTTTTTCACCGATGCTTTTGTTGAATACTACAGGTTCCATGGTATACAACAATGTCCTTGTGGGCCAAGAACTCCTTGGTCGAACCGAGCAGAGACAGCTGTACGTTTGTTCAAACGTATGTGGCATGTTATGAAGGTAGATCTGGATGACCCACGTTTTCGTGGTGTTACGGTCAGAGAAGTGGTCAAGAAGGTAGTTTGGGCAAGAAATTGTCAGTTGACTATCAGTGGATATTCACCAATAGAGATAGCAACTGGAAGACGTCCACCAGATCTTTTTGACCTTGAGACCGCAAGCCCTGAGCAATTGTCAGCTAATGCCGCCGCACAAGATCGTACAAATTTGGAACTACAACGTGTGGCTTTGAGAGCTCATCAAGAAGCACGACAAGCTCAGGACCTTCGAGCAGATCTTGCAAGAAGGACTATGCCAAGTGACGGTCCCTATTTCCAAGGAGAGAAGGTTTTTGTTTGGACTCAGGATTCAAAGTTCAAGGATAAAGGACGTTGGGTTCGTGCCACAGTACTTGGACAAGAAGGAGCTATGGTCCAAGCCAATACTGGTAAGGCAGTGGTACGTGTGAATCAGTCGAAGGTTAGACGTGATCGCGATGAGTGGCATGATGTTTCCATACCGGCATTAGACGATGAGAATCCGGAGAACTTACGTGAAGATCACGAACTGTATGTTGATGCCGAATTTGGAGAACAGTCCTTTTTCTTTTGTAATGATGATCA